GAGCCAGATATCCAGCTATAAAGCCAGTTAAGCCCAGGGCACGAGGAAGGGACAAAGTGGTGTCCCAAGGTGGTAGGATGGGGCCACATGAAGGATCAGGCTGTTAAAAGCCGTCGTTTCTCAGGGAATGGAACTCTCTCAAAGAAACGTTCACATTCCGCTTAATGTATTTCTGTAATATTTGGATGGTTATAACCAATGTATTTTCTTCACTGTCTTTTCCCAACAATTTCACACGCTTTTTCTTTAGACACTAACCCATAGTAACTGCCCTTGGTCTGACTTCAACCTCACCCAGTTATCTTCCTGATTATTTGGCTTCCAATAGAGCTGGCCAGCGGAAGAGGGGGCCAGGCCAAGCTGACGTCACCGTATTGACCACTGGAATCTCTATTTCTCAGTATAAATGAATGCAGCTCTACAAATATTTTCTCTTCCTATGCCCAGTTTTCCCAGGACTAGCACATTCTTCATCTCTTGCTATGTTACAATTTCCCTTGCAAAGGGCAGAAGTCCAACTGACACTGGCTCTAGAATAAACAGTGGGGTGGATTTTAGAGGTTAATATAACGGAAAAAAGCCAGATAGAGCTCTGGCTTCAGGCATGGCTGGATCTGGGCATTCAAACAATGTCATTAGCCCTTTTTCTGACTCCTCTCTATTTTTATTATTATTAGTGTGTGTGTGTGTGTGTGCGCGCGCGCGCACTGACCTTACTCTTAGGCAGTTTCTTTGCATGCAGTGGTCCTGGCAGCTCCAGCGTTCCATCCCCTAGTTTGGAAATCAAGCAGAGAAATTTCTCAGTAGTCCCAACACAAGTCCCAGAATTGAATCTTATTGGCTCAGCTTGGATCAGATGCCTATGTTTGAACCAATGGCAGTAGCCAGCAGGACGGAATACGCTGATTGGTCTTCCCTGCCTCACATCACCTCCCACTTCCACACAACTGGGAACCACACAGAATGACAGTGGGGAGCAATGTTTGCCCAAAGGGGACTCAGGCCACTGTAGAAGGAAACACGGATGCTTGTCATGGGGGCAAAACAGATGCCCAGCGCTCCATCTGAGATCCCCTTCATCTTGATCTGGGGGAAACAGAATGGAAAGAAAGAACTGACAGTCAAACTGAAGACTAAGGAGAAGAGATGCCATGGGGGTGGGGAGAATTAGATTTCAGAGACAGAGGGTCCAGGGGAGGGTGAAGCAGGAGGGCACTGCCTGCCCCTTGGGGAGGGGAAGAGCTGGATCAGAAGAGCTGGAATCTGCGTGGCTCTCAACAGGTGACCTGAGCAGCAAAGGATAGCTCCGCACTTCCTGAGCGAAGCAATTTTCTGAGGGAGTGGATTGTGCCACCCCACCCGCCCTCTGACGTTCAGGGCAAGGTAAAGGGATTACGTTTTCTTAACTGCCGCGCTGCTTGCCTCTCAGTCCCACGGAGTCCTGTTAACTTGAGTCACCTTCCTGGAAGCTTATTGCCCACACACACACTGATGAGATTGAGCTCCTGGACACCAGAGGCTGGGAACCCGACCTTGGACGCCAATAGATTCCTGCCCCGTGGAAGGCCCCTTGGCAGGCAGCCAGCAGGCCTGCCCTGACCCAGCCTGCCTCTGCCTCCAGGCCCCGGGGGCCTCCTTTCTACTGGGCCAGGATTCCAGGGGCTGCAGATAGAACCCCCGGCAGGGGGCTTCCTCAGAGATGGCCAGATAAATGGCAGCTGTTCTGTGCAATGTGATGTGCCCAGCACACCCCTAATGGTGCCTGTCCTTAGGTATGTGAAGAGCATCGCAGGGCACTGATGAGATGCCGGGAAGCAGTAACTGTAAACCGCCTGTTCGGCTGGGCTTCCCTCACCCACCTTCTCCGAACACGTTCCCATCTCTCTTTTTCACGGGCCGCCTGCTCGTAAATGTGTTCAAAGCACAAACACACATTTGCCCCCACGGATCCTGACATCCAAAAGGTTTAGTCCGAGACCGCCTGCGGCAGCGCTTCTGAAAGCGGGGCCCCCAGTCCACCTGTGTTGGACCGACAATGTTTACCTGTAGATTCTCAGACCCCATCCAGACCTGCCGGGTGTGTCTCTGGGTTTGGGGGCTAGAGATCTGCCTGTTAAAAGGCTCCAGGGGTGGCCTGGTGGCGGTGCTGGTGGGAATTCACCTGCCCCGAGGCACCTGGCCCCAACTGGACGGTTCTGATTCACTAATAGGCCCGCCCACTTTGGCCCTTCCATCAGGTAATTCAAAGTCTCCAGGCCTGCTGGTTACTGATTAACTCTAGCAAAGAAATAATAATAATTGAAGGGCAACACAAACCCAGAGACAGGCTGAGCAGCCCTGGGAGAGCGGTGCCAGACAGCTGTTATCACCAGGCACCCAACAGAAGGGAAAGAAGGCTTGATACGCCGCCTCAGGTCAGACTCGGTCCCCGCAGCACCTTGTCCATGCCCAGGTCCTGAGCTGCTGTGTTCCGCCGGCTCCCCTGCCCAGAATGGCCTGCACCGAGGCCCCACAGCAGCCAGCCCCGCACCAGCCCCTCTCGTCAGGAGCCACCACCACCACGGACACCACAGGTCCTGCTGGGGGTCATCGCGGCTCCGTGGGTCCCGACCTGGAGTGCCTGGTGTGCCGGGAGCCCTACAGCTGTGCCCGACTCCCCAAGCTGCTGGGCTGCCAGCACTCCTTCTGCGCTGTCTGCCTGAAGCTCCTTCTGTGCCCGCAGAACGACACCTGGTTCGTCACCTGCCCCCTGTGCCGCAAGGCCACCGCCGTCCCCGGGGGCCTCATCTGCGGCCTGCATGACCAGGAGGCCGTGGTGGGGCGGCTCACCCGGCCGTGCCCAGAAGTGTGGCTCTGTCCTCAGGAGCTGGTGAGTCCCGCTGCCCTGACAGCAGGGCACCCCGGCTTGGCAGGAGAGGATGGGCAGGACGTGGCAAGTGCCAACCGCGTGGCAGCCCGGCGCCTGGTGGCACACCTGCTCCTGCTGGTCTTGCTCATCGTCCTCATCCTGCCCTTCATCTACCCTGGGATCATGCAGTGGACGCTCACCTTCATCATCGCCCTGGCCCTGCTGGTGGCCACCCTCTTCTGCTGTCACCCCCGCAGCCAGGGCAGCGGCCGGCCCTGCCCCAGGACCCTCTTCTGCGGGGAGCAGAAACACAGCGAGATCTCCTCCGTTGCCTGTGTGCACCCCGTCCAGGCACCCACAGCACCTTGTGCCTCTGCGGCCCCGATATTCTCCCAGTGAAAAGGGTAAGGGGCTGTGAAGTAAGGCTGCTCCCTCAGGAGACGGAATGCCAGCCAGACTTGCAAGCTAAAGCCAGATGCTGTCTCGGGTCCAGAACTATGTGCTTGGAGGATAGACTTATGCCTGCCCCGGGGACAGCGTGGCTAAGCTGTTCGGGGTGGGGAGGAGGCACAAATGACTTGAACACTACAAGGGGGGCTCCTGTTCCTCTGATTCCAGTGCTCCGGGTTTTCCTTTCTATACCTTGAGGAAAGTAGTGCAATATTAACGTATCGAGGAACCAATAGAACCAGAACTCCTCTGTTATTGTTTTGTAATGTATGCAGCTGGTTTTATCTTATTGCTTGGTTGGGGGCTGGGTTTTTGTGTTTGGGGTAGTTTGCTCCTATTCCTGGCTGCTACACAATTTCCCTCCTGGGAAATCAGAGCTCACGGGACGTCCTCCTGTGTCCCCGCCAATGCTGCCCATCTCATGCCCACCCCGCCTTGCCAAAGGTCCCGGCAGTTTGGGTCTTCCATGGAGTCGCCACACCATCCTTTCCCCCCAAGAATGGAAGGAGAGAACTTGTATGAAGAAGTGGTACTTCTGATGCCAGCAGGAGCCCCCACATTTAGTTGGCAGAGCTGGGGCGTGGGGAGGGAATGCGGGTGGCTCTGGGAATTTCCCTCAGCATCCCCCACCAGAATTTCCCAGTTCCGTGTCTTCTGGCCCTGACTTAACAGAAAATCTCAGAGTTGCAAGGGCTTCCCCCCTGCCAGCCCAGCTGCCCACCTGATGCACTGCCCCACACTCCAGAACTGGGAATCATGAGTGCTGCTTTCTTTATTATTGCGTCTCGCTTTCCATTTGAGCATTTGTCATAAAGATAAGAGGCCTCGTAAACGCAGCGGAACTCTCCAATAACCCCAACTTTCCCACCTCGCCCCAAGAGTCGCAGTCATCTGAAAGGCGTCTCTGTGTTTTTTCTCGGTCATTACTGCTCCATAGCATGGAGGAATGACCTTCCACGGTCACCCAGGTCAAGCCTCAGCTGGGAGACCCGTGGGGTGCAGGGGAGCAGAGGGTGAGAGATGACACTCTATTTCCTTCCAAAGCCATAATAGGAAAGCAGACTTGAGACCTCAGATGGGTTCCCCGAGCACAATCCATTGTCCTGTCGCTACGGTTGACAGTACCTTTGTCAGGAGGGAGGTGCGAACTCTGTCACCGGAGCACAGGGGGTGCACCTTGTGTTGTTGAACCAGGTCCTGCCTCTCAGAGCTTCACTTTCCCTGAGATGAGCTGGTAGAACTGGAATATTCCTAACACCCCTGCAGCCCAGGAGCTGAGGGCACTGCCGAGCCCCCAAACAATGGATGTGCACGGGCCACATCCCCTGCGGCCTCATGCAAAGAGAGATCAAGATACAAGTGTGGGTGCAATTAGCTGTTCTTGAAATCTGGGTGCCTCTCTTTTTCTCTTATAAGGTCCTTCCAGGGTCCGGTGACACCCACGCTATTGGCTTTAGAGACTCCTGGTGCTGAGAGAGAATGTGTGAGTGGATGCGGGCATGTGTTGCCTACACTGTCAAGCCAAGGCCAAATGGAACCCTGTCTCACCCTGGCTGCTTTTGCTCAGTGGATAGAGTGTCAGCCTGTGGACTGAAGGGTCCCAGGTTCAATTCCAGGCAAGGGCATGTACCTCGGTTGCAGGCTCCTCCCCGGCCTGGGCCCTGGTCAGGGCTCATGCAAGAGGCAACCAATCGATGTGTTTCTCTCACATTGATATGTCTCTCTATCTTTCCCTCTCTCTTCCACTCTCTTAAAAATCAATGAAAAAAATCCTTGCGTGAGGATTAAAAAAAAGAAAGAAAAGAATACCCTGTGTCCCCAGGAGGAGTTAGTGACAATAATTGTTTGTCATTTCCTGAGCTGGCCTTGGGCATGTGTGCTTTGGGATGCGTGCCAGTAGGGTAGGCAAAGAACATTCTCTCTCCACTCACCATCATTCCTATTCCACCTAGTTCTTGGACCCTCCACCAACAAGAAAATCTTCACCAAGATTTCAGTTGTTATAAAATACAAAAAAAAAAAAGATTTCAGTTGTTAATGACAGCACCATTTCTACATTAATAACGGTGGGTGCATGTTTATTGAGTGCTTACTATGTGCCAAGCCCTGCCAAACTGCTCTATGTGCATTATCTAGCTGAATCTTCATGATAACCTATGCAAGTAGAGATCATTTGCTGATGAGGAGACTGAGGATCAGAGAGGTAAATTCATCTGCCTCAGGTTGCACAGCCGGCCACTTTCAGAGCCCTTTCTGTTCCATCATGCTGTGTCCTTTGCGTGCAGTTCCAAAACAACCAGGAAGCTGGTGGCCACTTGTGGGCTTGCAAGGGAGAGTAGAAGATTAAGCTCAGGAGCCTCCAAATTCCAATGGCCAGGCACTCAGAGAGGCCAGAGAATTCCAGAACCTGTTGTCTATGCTAAAGAGAAAGAAAAGAGAATGATACAAATGAGATGGCTTTCCTACAGACTTTTACCATCCAGTCCCAGCCTCCCCTGCAGGGAGCTCTGTTGTTACATGGTCCCCAACCAGTGTACTCTCCCTCCCCCTGAGCAAAGATGTCCTGACACTACTGTCCCACTCCCCCGGAAGCCCAGCTGGTCCCAAAGAGCTGCTGGCCCCTGCAGTATGGGGACAGAGAGCCCCAGAGGCCAGTATCAGCCCAGGCTGCCCTGCAGGGGAGCAGAGGAAACAGGCGGTGTGGGAAAAGGGTGTGAGTGGAAGGAAACAGGGAGTCAGGCCAAGGTTCAAAGCTAAGTTCTGACCTGGCGTATGACCAGTTACAGAGCTTCTCTGAGCCTTAGCTTGCTCACCTGTGGAGTTGGGGGGGGACACCACTCACCTCCCAGAGTTTCCATGACGATTCAAAGCACTCCCGGATGAGAACCCTCTGTCCTAATGGGTGGCCTTTGTCATTAATCATTGACCCCGTGGGTAAATGGGTTTCCTGGGGCCTGTTCAGGGGGCTGGCTTTGATGATAGGATAGAGTGGAAACTGTCCAGGGCAGGTGATCTGGTGGAGAACTTTGTGCTTAGGTCCTAAGGGGAAGTCCAAAGGATGAAGAATTGGGGGGAGGGAAGGTTGGGCAAATTTCACCCCCATCAGACCCATCTCCCAATCTGTGGCCTTGCAGTCAAACACACCTGCCTTGAATTCTAGCTTCAGCACCTACACGTCACCTTACCTGTCTGAGTCTCAGGTTCCTTACCCATGAGACAGAGCTTACAATCCCCATTTCAAAGGCTTGCTGGAGGAATTAACAAAATAACCCTTGGTGAGCATTCAAAATCATAAGGAGGGAAAGCAGAGACATGAAAAAAAAACAAGGAGAGAGAGAGGGTCGGGTTCTAGCAAGTTGAGAACAGACTCCTCTTATTTTATTCGATCTTACTAAAACCTGGCCACTAGAATTCACCTCCCCATGACCAGCCTCCACAGCAGCCGTGTCCTCAGCAAAATATAAGAAAACAATCATGGCTAACACGATGCTAGTGCACTGTGGGAAGTATATTGCATGTGTTAAATTACCTCTGCTATGAGGTGGATACTATGATTACCCCCAAATTACAAACAGGGATAACTGAGAACAGAGAAGTTAAGCACCTTGCTGGGGAGCACAGAGCGAGGCAGTGGGCCAAGAGTAGACTGCAGAGGCCCAACTCCAGAGAGCAGACTTGGAGTCACTTTGCTGTATCAAAAGGAACATTTCCGGCCCATCATAAGCACTCAAGGTATGCGGGCCCCCTGGCCTGAAGGGTGAGGAATTAAGAAGAGCTCTAGCAGGCTTGTCTCAGCGGATAGAGCATCAGCCTGCGGACTAAAGGGTCACAGGTTCGATTCCAGCCAAGGATACATGCCCAGGTTGCGGGCTCAGTCCCCGGGGGGGGAGGGGGCGTGCAGGAGGCAGCCGATCAATGATTCTCTCTCATCATTGATGTTTCTATCTCTCTATCCCTCCTCCTTACTCTCTGAAATCAATAAAAATATGTATTTTTAAAGAAAGGATTAAGAAGAGATGGCATTCCCCCACTTGGTTATAGCTTCCTGACTAAGTGGGTGTCTGGGGCCGAGGGCTGTAGGATCCTACCTGCCCCATTACCCACCGCTGTGTTCTCATCTCACCTTCCAGCACCTGTTCATGGTGGGAACCTCTTTGTAAGTAACTGCAGGAAGTGTTCCAGCCTTTGCCAGAGCAATTAATTCTTTGTGGCAAAGGAAAGCCTTTCCAGGAATGAAAGACGGTCCTGCAAGTTCTCAGACTGTGGGAACAGCATAGTGCACATTCAACGGGATATCAGATCTCTGCTCTTGAAACTGCCTGGAGCCATTCGTATCAACTTTATATTCTTGTCAGAAGATCTTGAGATCACTCTTTTAAAAGGAGGACTATTTACTGGGTCAGTGGAGAACTGTGAACAATTCAGAACACCATGAGATCTTAGGCCCATCCATGCATTTATTTATTCAACAAATATTGATTGAGCGTCTGCTCTGTTCCAAGCAGTGATCAGGGTACTTAATCTTGATTGACAGGGCACTTTGATGAGGAAGGAAACTAACCCATGCAAAGCGCCTGTCGTGGGTTGAATTGTGTTCCCCTCCCCAAAAGAAGCTGGGTTGAAGCCCTAACCCCACCACCTCAGAATGTGATCTCCTTTGGAAATAGGGTTTTTGCAAAGATAATCACGTTAAAATGAAGTCATTGGGGTGGGCCATGAAACGATGTGACTGGTGTCCTCATAAAAAGGGGAAATTTGGACCCTGAGGCAGACACACACAGAGGGAGGACAATGTGAAGACACACAGGGAGGATGCCATGTGCCGATGAAGGCAGAGGCCAGGGTGATGCAGCAGAAGCCACGGAAAGCCACCAGTGGCCAGCAGCCACCAGGAGCCAGGAGAGAGGCATGGAATAGATTCTCCCACAGAGTTCTCAGCGGGAACCCACATTGCCCGCACCTCGATCTTGTAGCTTCCGGAAGTGTTGAGCCCAAACATTCCTGTTGTTTAAGAAACAAGGTGTTGTGACACCTTATATGGCAGCCCTAGGAAGCCAACAGAGGACCTGTGCTTGCACCATGCCCCTTCGCTGCGTTATTTCAAGTTAAAGCTGAAAAACTTGCCCAGAGCCTTGTAAGCACGTGAGTGGCAATATCGGGCTCATAACTGCATCTGCTGGACTCCCCAGTTAGATCTTACTTCTCCCATTCTGTGGATGGGAAACTGAAGTTCACAGAAGCTCTGATATTCCTCCACACACAAAAAAGTGCCCAATACATCAGAGATGGAGTTAAAATCGAAATCCACAATTCCTAAATTATCTTTAATCTATGCAACAGCCATAAGACAATTACTTATTACCCGCATTTCACAAAGTAAAGAGTTAAAGCCCAGGGCATTAAGGCACTTACTTGACCAAGGTCACAAGCAAGTGAGTGAAGTACCAGAATTTGAACTCACTGACCCGAAAGCTGTATCTGCACTTCCCACTGCTCCACACTGCTTCCATCTGCAGCGTGTCAGCATTGAGAGGCCCACAAGCTTGTCCTTCAGGACGCTTGACTGCCCGCCTTAAGGGTTTGTTTCCTCAAAGAGGACAAAGCTACAGTGGACACTTGTCTTCTCTTCTTTCCTTTGACTGTCTTATATTCAGCCACCCGCCTCCACTTGCCCTACTCCCCCTTTTCCCTTTCTAAGAAAACTGCCCTCTGGTTAATCTTATCGAAGTTCTCCCACTACACCAACTGGGGTTCTTGGTCCTTCTTCTACCCACCTCCTATTTCTCCTGAGGTGGTCACATGATATAAGTCACATGATCTTTCCCAGAACTTGAGGCTAGTAATGAATAGGGTGGGGTGAGGTGGGGCAGGTGGGGGTGGGGTAAGTGATGGAGGGATGCAAGTTGGAAAGGGCAGCAGCAGCAGCAGACCAGATGGGCTCCAGAGCTCTGGTCCTTGAGCCACTGGTTGAGTCAGTGAACACTCAGGTTTCTTCTTTACAATTACTATTTTTCTTTAGATAGCCAGAATCTGTTTCTGTTGCTTGCAACCAATATTCCTGAACCAATACAGGAACTGCCCAAGCCTCTGGTTTCTAAAAAATTCCACTATGACCTGCAGCCCTTCCAAAGCCCAAACAAGCTGCCACAAGCCAGGGAGCCAGGGAACAAAGACAGGTTCCTGTTGGGCCTTGGCAATAATGAAACTAAGACCTGGGCCTTCATGAAGACTGTTTCTCTCCACTTCTGTCTCCTGGCTCAGACACGGTGGGGAGGAACAGGACAGTCTTAATATTTGCAAATCTCAGGACAAGAACACAAAAGGATAAATAAGACAAGTCCTAATCTCCTAACAGACAAGAACAATGGAGGGAAATATTAACCTAGATGTCTTTGACCC